TTCGTTTGCTTGTTTAAATTGATAAGCCATGACCTTGCCCAGTTAGTTCGGTTTCTAATTTAGGAAGAAGATGTACCCATTGATAAAGTATCATCTGCCGGGATGCCGATTGTAAAACATCCGAAATATCGTTACGATAAATCAGGATTAATGAGGGGCTCTGGATACAACCTTGTGGAACTCCAGCTTTAATGAAACCATAGTCAACAAGTGCGTTTGAAATAAATACTATTTGTCTTCTATCTGAAAGAGAATTTTCTAACCTAGCCAACAAGTCTTCTGTTGTTCTTAACTGAATCAACAATCCCTTCTGCCAAACACGATCAAAAGCTTTAGATATATCAATGAACACAAAACAAACATGTTTTTTCTCTTCAAGAATTAAACAATTATTATGATAAATTTCAATGAGTTGATAAACAGTGGAGTAACCAGACAGAGGGAACACACCTCACTGTCGTGACGATTGAACAATTTCTGACAGAGAAAACACGCCTCACTGTCGTGACGATTGAACAATTTCTGACAGAGAAGATTGAACAATTTCTGAGAGAGAAAACACACCTCACTGTCGTGACATGCCTCTCTGTCACCATAACGCTTATTTTTGTCATAATCTAAGATGTACTATCAATTGCTGCAATTACCTCCGGGTGTTGTCGACTGAAGGCATTTTATGTATAAACACCAGCAGTGTTACAATTTTCCACAATCGTTTGCCCTGAAATGCTTCGTGCTTTAATTGCATACACGCGTGTTTGAGCCTACCATCATCAAAGTATGTTCAAATCGCCCGTCATCGTGACCGTCTCTCTGACTATAAATGATTTTTGTTATTATTTGTTTTCTTTCGGATCGATCACTCTAAAATTTTACATTATTTGTATGTTCTCTTTATTCGTTCGTTGTGCATGTCCAATGTTGGAAGTTATCGAATAACAAAATAACCGACAAATAGCCAGATTGTATTTTGAAAGCTAACAGTTGCAATACCTGTTTAAAGAAAGCAAAATACAGGCGCATATTATTTCACTTAAGATTTCCTTGGTCCCTAGTTGATCAGGATAAGTTTAGAACTGATCCGAAATAAATGGTGGCCGCCAAGCAGCTATCTTCAGGTTTTACAACTGAAAATTTGTGGCTATTCAGAACCAATTGATGGATTTTTGCATTCTATATGTAGAACCCCTTGGTCTCTAAGTTGGGCATGTTTAGCCTTTGGACCGATCTTGGCACCCACCATTGTATAAGTTGGATCTTTTCCCTTCTTTTCTCCTGTTTTTGCTCTAATGATATTTAAAAATAAAAATCCTCTCTTGAAATAGTGTAAAAAATATTTCACAGCCTAAATCTGAGATGGCCTCCCGAAAGTCTTTGTTGGTCACAGCTACATAGTCTACATATGGCATTTGAAAACGATCCATGAAATACTTCTAAAAAAATAGTGATAATTATCTTTCATAGACGAAATCCAGTATTGCTAAGTGCCAGTCATTATATTTTGTATTTTATCAGTCCACAAATTCAACAGGCACAAATTGGGACCAAAGGAGACTAGGTCCACCCATTACTTCTTGAGAAAAAAATGATAACAAACTTCATATTCAAAATCTGAGATTCTGATCATTGCGAAAACTAAAGGGCACAGCTAGGGACCAACGTATAAAACCTTCACATCTTACGGATAAATCTGGGGTAAGATTGGAATTACACAAGCTAAATACGTAGGCGGATATCATTATTGATATTCTAGTGATATTTCATGAACACATTGTCAGATGTTAACACAGAGATGTACAGTATATGTTACATGTTAGATGTTACATAAATAATGTATCTGTGAAACAGCTGTTTATATTTGTGCCATGACACTTTCTACAACACAGGAAAGTAATGACTATAACAGATAATTTAATTTAACATCATGAACATTTAATATATTAAGCGATTATTCTGTGATAGCGTTAACCTGACGACCCACTGGAGGTCCGTCAGGAATTTCGAGTTCTCGTTATTTGAACTATACTCATAATGCCATAAGTAACAATGTACAGGTCACCATATTCTTAGTCCTTTAGGGGTTGATTTTACACTAATGTTGTCCTGAAGAAACCCATATGTTACGGGTAGACGGAGAATAAAAAATAACAATTTCGGAATCCTAAGCTTGTTGTGATTGTCTCCTACAAGTAGGTATCTACAACATATATGTAAAACATATAGAGAAGAGTGAGATCTACAATGTAGGACACAAAACATCTGTTATGGTGATATGTAAACACAAAACATCTGTTATGGTGATATGTGAACACAAAACATCTGTTATGGTGATATGTAAACACAAAACATCTGTTATGTAGATATGTGAACACAAAACATCTGTTATGGTGATATGTGAACACAAAACATCTGTTATGGTGATATGTAAACACAAAACATCTGTTATGTTACGGTGATACAAAGTGATACATGTAATCTAAATAAGCACCTCTTTACAGCACTAGCTAGGATTTCACATGATATGCTTTTCTAAAAAGTACTCAAAGATATCTACTCATATTATCACAGAAATTGTATGCCTAAACTCATCATATAAACAAACATACAAAATTTTATTTGTGGAAATTATATCAGGATCATCTATAGCTATCGTGAATTACAAATAATAGCTCTACAACGATTGATTGAGCCACACCAGGTTTGTTTCTTATCAACTGAACAGTGTTAAATATTTATCTTTATATCAAACTCGACAAGGAATTAGCCAATTAAAGGAATGGAAAGGTGATTTCAGCAGAAATTTACAAGTGAACAGTTCACAAACCAATGTAATAACTCAATTCTCTGCATAAAATGTCTTATTCAGTTCCAAATTTCCTGATGTGGTTCATATACAAAGTTCAATTTTATACCAGCAGGGGGCATTTACACCAAGTATGTCTATACATACTGAAAATAGCAGAGATATTTAGACACTGACACTAGTTATGAAGTCATTTGAAAGAGTTCTAAAAACGAACAAAGCAGCTGTAAATCTTCCAGCTGGCTCAGATTACAAGTGTATCCTTTCAAAACTGGGTCATACTACCCCCTGGTCAGATTTAAATTTCTATAATCAATGGTTTTTTCAGAGGAATTGACACATGCAAAACAGGAGTCCTAGCAGCCTTGACGGTCACTGATATAAGCAATATTGAATATAAAGGTTAAAGTATAGTTATCAAGTGTAATGAAACAGAAATTGTGACACTGAATAAAGACAGTGTCAATACATGCATACAATCAAATCTGTCATCCTATACAGAGTCTTATAAAAGTTATTTCTAGTGCGGAAGTAACCAACGTTATGCTCAAAAATATTATTTTTCTATGAAAATTGCAGTAGAGTCTAAATAAAGTGATATTCCTCCCCAGGAAGATATGCGAGACTCATTTTGGTAATCAAAGCACCTTAAGATGCTTCCATTCATGAAGAGTATTTGATGCTAACATATCTGGGTCTTGAGAAGTAGATTTTTGAAATTTAAGTCAATTTGACTCCTTTTGGCCCCGCCCATCAGCCCCTTGGGTGTCAGTCAGGATGGAAACCGGCATACCATCAAGCCATCATCCTTCACTCATAATTCTTACCAAATTTGAAATATTTCCAATGGAAATTAAACAAGTTGTGCTAAAAATCTAGTTTTCCAGTATAAACTACAGTAAACTGTACCCCTTTCCCCACGGAGACATGCGAGACCCTGGGGCCATGAAATTCACAATTTTGGTAAAGCACCTTAAGGTGCTTCCATTCATGAAGAGTATTTGATTGTATCATACCTGTGTCTTGAGAAGATTTTTTAAATCTGAGTCAAATTGAACCATTTTGGCCCCGCCCCTGGGGGGCAGGGACTGTATAATTCACAATTTTGGTTCATCATAGGCCAGGGAAGTTTCTGCAAAATTTCATTGAAATTGGGTCAGGGGTTTCAGAGAAGAAGTCAAAAGTGTTAAATTGTTTACGGACAAACAACACATGACACAGGACACCGAATGAAGGGTATTAGAATAGGACATATGCTGCCTACAACATGTACCAATTGGTCAGCATTTATATATAAAGCAGGCAGACGGCAAAGCCTCTGCAAATTTGCTACAACAGACCTCAAATTTTAGGCTTTTTACTGGCTATTTGCAAGTTGAAATCCAAGAATTGCAAGTAGAAAAAATAAAGACTTGCTTTTTTTTAGCGAGTGGATTCATCAGATGCAAACTTCGAGTGCCTGTGTATTCCTAACATTTCACAGAATTAAATTGTTTTGATTTTCAAAGTGTAAATATTGGGACAAAGCAGTTCTATAATGTTGATATATATTGGATGAAGCAAGGTAATACATTATAAATCACAAAACAAAACACATTATTTGAACATGGAGATTTGTGATAATAGCAAGTAAAAAGTCATTTTAGCAAGTACAAATTTAAGGCACTTGCTGTTTTCATCTTGAGGAGCCCTGGTACTTTTGAAATAAAGAGTAAAATCAGCAGTAATATGGGCTGTACTATTGTTAGTCGTTTCATCTAAATAAAAAATGTGACTGAAAAATGTTTGTGAAATTATACAGCTAATAGGTCTATATTTTTGGAAAACTCCAGGCACATGATCCTCATTTATAATCTGTCACTGTTAACCATACATTGTGTAATCTCTGGAATTTGCAAGATGGAAATTTAATTTTATACACATTACCGCAATCTAGGTTCAAACATACCTTGCAGTAATGCTTTATATTTAAAGGAAATAAGAAAACTTAACAAAAGACAATTGCTAGAACTAAAATGTCCTGGTTTAAAAGTAATAAATATTAGGCCAATTCTATAGAATACCAAAGACCTTTGAATAATGGATCAAGATTTGTCAGTAAAATTACGTCTAAAAATAACCACTTGTTTACTGGAAGAATGGGACAAACACACAGAGTATTTTTGATGAAAGTTTATTCTATGAAACATATGTCAAAAATCAATATGCTGAGAATTCTATTTAAACCGTTTGATTTTGTAACTTGCTGTATATTAAAATGTCTCTTAGATGAAATTCTGTGTTAAATCCTGCCTTCATCAAACTGACGCATGCTGGGGTCATCTTGGATGCAATTTCCTCATTATTATCTTTCAATTCTGACTGACTATATTGAAATTTACATTTCTGTCCTCAGTCGTAAGTGATGGACATTTTGAGTCTACTTGCTTTACACACAGTAATCAGTGACAAGATTTTCAGCTGTTACAGTTTGTAAGTGGTGGCTGTTCATGGAGTCGTGAAAGTGCTAAATCTGTCCATTTTTGTTCCTGCTCTCGAAGAGTTTCATTGGTAGGGCCATTGTCGGGTTCCAATTCTGGCAACTCCATCTGTGGCACTGCAATATCTTCCATAGGTAATTTATCCTCGCGCCATTTCTCATCCACCATCTCCATCAAACGTCCATCTCTCACAACTTCACTGTCCATAATGACTGAAAATTCATGTGACAAAAATACAAGTGTTTAATGTTTTTTAATGAATGTGGTGAATTATGATGTAATAACTGACATTTATGTCAAGACATGGTAAGAAATGGTTATTTTTACAGATATTGTGTCACATGAGAAGTATAAGATGATGTTGTGTCTTACATATAGAGTGGTGTTATAACTTGTACCACATGTACATTACAATAGCACAAAAGAGAGTTATTTCCCTTAGATTACTTAAATTAAATACATTACAGTCATGGTAAGACTTTCATATGACCATTTTTTGGATGAGTGTAATTGCAGAGGTAACACCTGATCATGCCAAGTCAAGTGTGACTCTGAAATCTACACTGCACCTCTTATAGTGTAGTGCACAGTTATTGGCCACTGAAGGCTTAAAATAATTAACGGTCATAAATGAGTTGACTATTCTTTTAGCGGTTAAGGGGACTGGTTGAGATTTTAACATCATGATTACTAATAACTGGCTAGTGACAGCAGACCAATTACTTACTTGTTCATCCAATCAACTGCTGTTTTTTAAAGTACCTTACCATGAGGTTACTATCCCTCAAATGCAGGACTACTACCCATATGGAGGTTTCAGCCCAACCTGTCCAAATCCATTCTTTAGAATGAATATGTCAACAATCTAAATGAGGCCTTTTCAAATGTTTAACTTTCGTACAATACATTCATTGTGTAATCAATGTTACCAACTCCACTGACCAAGCGAAGCGACCCTATTTTGGGAAACTCGTAATTTTCACGTAACCGTTCAATATTTACAATGTACTGGAACTAGTCTACAATCAGGTTTTGGAGTACCGGTCAGTTGGACTATATAACCCGGTTTGGCGATGCTCTACTATCTGATAACAGAAACTGACCGACAAGGATCCCAAATGGGAAGGTCCTGTTCATATGAAAGTCACGCAATGTGATAAAGAACCGGAAATGTGGACACTTGTCATTCCAGCAGTGTATATATATATTACATAATATGAATATATACCTATCACAACTGCGGGGCCTCTCCCGGATTCGTGATTGCTAGTTTTGTAATCCTCCAACTGAATAAGGCTTATATGACCTTTACATGCATGCGCAGAACTTACTTCCGCTCACGTCTCAAAGAGAAAGTAGACGGCCTACGTGCAGTCGACTGAGGTGTACACAAAAAGAATTTAGTATTGAAAAGGTACGTAGCATTGTATCAATTTCTCATTGCATTTAACTTGTTTAGACAAGATAAACTTAAACAGAAACTCGATTTATGATATGGCAAAGTCAAAAAATGAATTATGAATCATGCATTTGTTTATAATTACTGTTCACACTATAGAAGCAGAGCGCACTGCTCCTACAGCTGTATTCTATTCTAGTGACCCAGTTCTGTCACTTTCAGCAACTCTGTTTATAGTCTCGTTCTGCCTTAATGGACCTAGACAGTTTTTTTTCTTTGAACAGATGACTTTATGTCGATGCTCACATTCATTCTGCTGTTAATTGGTCCTGACTGTGATACATTGCCAAATAGGAAAGATTCCTTGTTAAAAGAAAAAGGATCTAATAATGTTTTAAAGCTGTAGAGGAAATTTTGTACAATGGGACAGTCCCACAGTGTATGAACTATTGTTTCCCTATCTAGATTACAAATAACTAAGAAACTGACAGAGGGGTTGTATATGTTACAAAATTAAAGATATTAATTAATTTTCATCATTTTAATCTTATAATAATGTTAATGTACAGACTAGATAATGAAGTCTTAATCATGACCAAACACTATATTTACAAGACAAGATGCCTTCAAAATACTCTATCAGTAAATGCCTTAAAATATCACCATTTTGTTAAAAAAAATATATGAAAAAATGGAACAACTTCCTAGAATTATAAGATTAAAATTATGAAAATTAGTTAATATCTTTAATTTTGTAACATAATACAACCCCTCTGTTAGTTTCTTAGTTTTTATTTCAAATTACTATAGATATAATAAATATATATATATATATATGTGTGTGTGTGTGTACAGTTTAGCTTAGCTAACAAAGGGCTAAAACCTTTTTCTTATTGCTCTGCATTTATCTAACAGTTATGTCCCTTTGCCATACTTAATCTGAAAAACATACAGTTGAACTTCCTGTTTGAACATACCATAAGTTACCTTTATTATAACATGGATATATTTTTTGTCTAGATGGGTATAACCCGAACTCATTTTTTTATCCCTTTTTTTCCAATTTAAACCCAAAATGTAAATTGTGTCAGACCTATTCATTCCGTGTGTAAGGCCAAAAGTATCATAGTTCTTAAATTATTAAATTATTTATAAACTGATTTTATACCCAAATATATGCATAGTGATGAGCTACAGTACAAAAACAAGATTTTTTTTCATCCTTTCCTGTCTTTCTTTTTTCTTTCTCTGCCTTTCTCTTCCACTTTTCTTCTTTTCCTGTTTCTCTTAATAAGGTAATAATATATGTGTATTTTTTTTATCAACTGATGCAAGTTAGCATACACGTGAGCTGTGTGATGTCTGAGTGAATATAATATGCTATGAATGTAATAAATACCATATATTGCTGAAAATTCTGAATAAAAAAGAAAATTACAAAAAAAAAAAATTCTGATGAAATGTAATGTTAGCTTTAACAATAGATCACAGGTCCTCGTGTCTGATATACTTCTAGCCAATTTTGTTCTATCTTTCTGATCTAGTCAGAAATTGGAACTTTCAGTTCTTGTTTGATCCATTTCAGTGTATTCATTCGTTACTCTAATTGTTTTTAATTGGGATCATGTATACATAGCAATTTTAACTTTTCTTCCATACCCTTTCCACTTGTACCTCAGAACATTTCAGTTGTTCCATTTGCTATTTTAGAATTTTTCTCAATTCAAGTTAGCTTACTTTTTTTTCTTTTTGTGACATCAGCTTGTTCCAAGTTATGAGTAAACCCTTAGCTCCCAGGATTTTCAATGAAACTGAAGAAGATCTGTCATTTTACTTCAACATGAATTTTTACCCTTTTCCAGCCAAATTTTTGGTAAGCAACCCCTATATATGTAGGATGCAATCTTTTTAAATATTTTGACAAAAATCATGTTTTACCAGTAATGATGTTACCATAGCAACCATAATTTTGCATTCTTGTTCCCCAGGTCATATCAGCTTATCTAACTACTTTCCCTGTTCATTTCAGCTTCTGTTTTTCAACTTGCTCCTCTAGCAAGTTCATTTTCAAACTTATTCTGCTCGCCATTTCAGCTTGTTTCACTGGCCAGTTCAGTGTTAAGCTTTATGTTCTCCTGGTCATTTCATCTCACGAATTTGTTCTACTCACCATTTTATCTTATCCAACTTGTTCTCCGAGCCATTTCTGTTATCAGTGTTCTACGTTTCCCCTGGTAATTTCAGCATTTGTTCTTTGGACTATTTCAAGTTTTCTCCTTGACCTTTGCGATTTGGTTTTGAGGTCAATTTTTAAGTGATTTTTTTTTCAGTTTGTTATTTATGTCACTGTTATGTAACACTTATCAGACTTTGTATCGGCTTTATTGACTTTGTGTTAAGTATCTCAATAGATGTACTACGTAAAGTCTGTAATCATGTAACTGACACAGTCATCATGTAATTTATCAAAGCACCTTAAAAGAATGCATTAGATAGCCAAATACCCATCATTGTACGTTTACCATTATCGTCAGTAATATCACCAAAATCAAACAATATTGATATTAGTGGTATACAGTATATATATATCTATACCTGTACATTTGTCTGTCCTTATAGTACTAGAAGGAACTTTATAACTTTATAACCCCTCAACTACTTTGTTGTGTCACCTGCAGAGCTGGCAGACACTTAGGGATCACTTTGTCCATCGTCACACGTAGGCGGCATTGGCGGCGTCCGTACGAAAGTTTTCCAGACTTTTTTCGGTTATGCTTTTGAAAATTTGAAATTTTGAAATTTAGTAGATGGCTTCTTGTTGGAAGGGTACAGATTAAGTTTGATTCTTGGCTGTCTGTGACCCTTCTTGGCAGAGTTATGCCCCTTTGAACTTAGAAAATTCTCTTCTCATGGAATATTGTTTTCTGGACTTTCTTTGGTTATGCTTTGAGTTATCAAAATGAAATTTAGTATATGGCTTCTTGTTGGAAGGGTACAGATAAGTTTTGACATCCAGTTCGATTTCTGGGCGACCATAACATTTTATGCAGGCGACACATACAGTTCCGAGGAACTCTTGTTTTATCTTTACACCATATATACATCGTAGTGTAACGACATCAAGTTGTACATCTACATATGTGCATGCATGAGTATACATGACTTCTGTAGAAATAAAACCCTTGTATAAGTATATTGACCCCTCGTCAGGACCTGATTTGGATATCCTAATGCTAAAACCTTGATATTCAGTTTGAAAACTACTTTAATAAAACATTGTTTACCATGATACCGAAATCTACTTATTTATAACTAACTACTTGTACATGATTTTTTTTCTTCTTTCTTATCTTAAGTGATAAATCAAGTGGACATGCTGATAACCTACTTACTATGATTGGTTATATATATATATATAGATAACCTTGATTTAATTCAGGTAAGTGGTAGACCTAGTATGATTATGATAACCCGAGTTTCAGGTCAAATGTGCACCTCACAGGTATTGTATGCAGGCACAGTGGATTAGACGGTTACACTGTTTTCTGTTGGAAAAAGGTACAGATATATTTTTAGAATTTTCCTGCTGAAAATAATTTTGTTGTATGTTAATGTACTCTGATCTATTGCTGATGATTTCCACCTTAAGGACGTTGTTTACAGATCTGTAAGAAATATAATTAAAATATGCAACAGAGTCACGTTGAAACACCTCTATAAAAAAACATCCGGGGGAAATTAAAAAAGAACTTTTGACAAACAGGGAAATAGACTTTGATGTATTTATTGAAATACTTGAATTGCTTAAGAAAAACTGACTTAATAACTAATACTGATTTTTTTTTTTTTTTTTAAATTTCATAAAGTTTAGAAAAGTTTTCTTCAATTTTTGTCATTATAAGATGGTGTAGTGGTTGAATAGTAGGATGGCACAGTGGTAACACACTCGCCTTTCACTTAGGCATCCAGGGTTTGATTCTCGGCACAGTCGTGAAAAAGTTTTGGGTCACTGTCATGCCTGACCATGTGGGTTTCCTCTAGGCACTCACAATAAGACCCCTTGCATGCTTCCGTCTGGCTCAACAGGAGAGATTATCATAAGCTGATAGCTTGTTCTCCAAATGTTGTTATATTAAAACAGTTTATATTTTATCTATATTTATTCTAAGAAAAATGATCTGTAGACGAATGAAAGAATGATTTAACTGTTTTAATGTATATTCTAATCTATCTGAATTTGTCCCTAACACATATACCAATATCCCTTTCCCCTACAAACCCCTACCCACCTTGTAGTCCCATATTGCAACCTTTGTTGGACATTTCTTCAATATAAGCAATTTATTTGTCAACTGATGGTATCCTCATTTTAGATTTCAGTTTTTGAACATGGCGCAGCCCATGGTTAAATTGGCAGTTCTACGCCCTGGGTCATTTTTGCGGTCAGCCACGAACTCTAATTTCCGGGCTCGGTTTCTGTGCGCTGTCTCTTCCACTAATGCATTACATTGGAAGTGTTCCATATCAAAACTTCAGTCACAGAAGTCAGATTTTTTCTCAAAGTCAGCATTGTTAAAAAGAAACAGGAATTGTGTTTGCATAGGAACTCGAAAGATGTCTGACATCACTGGAAAAGAAAAAGATTATATTTTTAGACAGGTAAGGATTTTATACTTTTTTCTACCTCAACTTTAACAATTTTTAGGTTACCTAAGACAAAGTCTCAAGGTGACCTTTGTTTCAGGTGACCTTTTGTGATCCCCTTTAGTCCGACATCATGCATTTTCAATGAAATTTTACAAAAATCTTCCATGGCTTAAGTCACACCAGAATTGTAAATTATATGGTACCCAACCCCCAGGGGCCTGAGGGGTGGGACCAAAAATTGTCTCAAATTGACTGAAATTTAAACAATTTTCTTCTCCAATCCCAGATATAGTAGAATCAAGTGCTCTTTAAGGATGGAAAGGCCTTCTGATGCTTTACCTAAATTGTAAATATCATGACCCCGGGGTCTCCCATTTCCATCTGGGGAGGAGGTTAAGTTGGCTATGGTTTATGTAGAAAAATCACATTTTTGAATAACATTTATTAATTTCTATTGGAATTAGTTCAAATATGGACTGAATTATTAGTTTGAAATGACAGCACATATTGACCTTAGCTGACTCTCAGGGGCTGATAGTGGGACAAAAAGTGAGTCATATTAACTGAAATTTCAAAGATATCTTGTTCAGACAGGACTAGTAAGTCAAACTCTTAAAACTGTAATGGACTTAGATAAATTCTCTCAACTTCGACAAAGGATAGAAAGAGCTCAAAATAGTATTTAAAATGTATTTAATTCACTGATTTAAAGTTATATATGTATATGTGTATCAGTTTAACACCTGGAAACAAATATTTATAGAATAATGATATGTTATCTAGATTGTAAACAACCTTATACACCCTAGACCAACAATGCAAACAGACTAACAGTTTATTCCTCAATATCAGATCAACATTTTCCTGTACCTGAACATGTCTGATTCATTGGAGTCCTAATACTGTAAACCTCAAAGATTCAATCATTTTTACCCATCCAACTTTAATGTAAGAAGTTTTAAGGCATAGAAAGCATACCAATGATGAATAAAGGGATTTATCAATGACTTGGAAAGCATACACATGTTGAAAAAAGGGACTGATCAGAGACATGGAGAGCATACACATGTTGAAAAAGAGGCTTGTCAATGGCATGGAAAGCATACACATATTGAAAAAGGGACTTATCAATGGCATGGAAAGCATACACATATTGAAAAAGAGGCTTGTCAATGGCGTGGAAAGCATACACATGGTGAAAAAGAGGCTTGTCAGTGGCATGGAAAGCATACACATGGTGAAAAAGAGGGATTAATCAATGGCATGGAAAGCATACACATGTTGAAAAAAGGGACTGATCAGAGACATGGAGAGCATACACATGTTGAAAAAGAGGCTTGTCAGTGGCATGGAAAGCATACACATATTGAAAAAGAGGCTTGTCAATGGCATGGAGAGCATACACATGTTGAAAAAGAGGCTTGTCAATGGCATGGAGAGCATACACATGTTGAAAAAGACGCTTGTCAATGACATGGAAAGCATACACATGGTGAAAAAGAGGCTTGTCAATGACATGGAAAGCATACACATGTTGAAAAAGAGGCTTGTCAATGGCATGGAAAGCATACACATGGTGAAAAAGAGGCTTGTCAATGGCATGGAAAGCATACACATGGTGAAAAAGAGGCTTGTCAATGGCATGGAAAGCATACACATGTTGAAAAAGAGGCTTGTCAATGGCATGGAAAGCATACACATGGTGAAAAAGAGGCTTGTCAATGGCATGGAAAGCATACACATGGTGAAAAAGAGGCTTGTCAATGGCATGGAAAGCATACACATGTTGAAAAAGAGGCTTGTCAATGGCATGGAAAGCATACACATGGTGAAAAAGAGGCTTGTCAATGGCATGGAAAGCATACACATGGTGAAAAAGAGGCTTGTCAATGGCATGGAAAGCATACACATGGTGAAAAAGAGGGATTAATCAATGGCATGGAGAGCATACACATGGTGAAAAAGAGGCTTGTCAATGGCATGGAAAGCATACACATGTTGAAAAAGAGGCTTGTCAATGGCATGGAAAGCATACACATGGTGAAAAAGAGGCTTGTCAATGGCGTGGAAAGCATACACATGTTGAAAAAGAGGCTTGTCAATGGCGTGGAAAGCATACACATGGTGAAAAAAACGGCTTGTCAATGGCATGGAAAGCATACACATGGTGAAAAAGAGGCTTGTCAATGGCATGGAAAGCATACACATGGTGAAAAAGAGGCTTGTCAATGGCATGGAAAGCATACACATGGTGAAAAAGAGGCTTGTCAATGGCATGGAAAGCATACACATGGTGAAAAAGAGGCTTGTCAATGGCATGGAAAGCATACACATGTTGAAAAAGAGGCTTGTCAATGGCATGGAAAGCATACACATGGTGAAAAAGAGGCTTGTCAATGGCATGGAAAGCATGCACATGTTGAAAAAGAGGCTTGTCAATGGCATGGAAAGCATACACATGTTGAAAAAGAGGCTTGTCAATGGCATGGAAAGCATACACATGGTGAAAAAGAGGCTTGTCAATGACATGGAAAGCATACACATGGTGAAAAAGAGGCTTGTCAATGACATGGAAAGCATACACATGGTGAAAAAGAGGCTTGTCAATGGCATGGAAAGCATACACATGTTGAAAAAGAGGCTTGTCAATGGCATGGAAAGCATACACATGTTGAAAAAGAGGCTTGTCAATGACATGGAAAGCATACACATGGTGAAAAAGAGGCTTGTCAATGGCATGGAAAGCATACACATGTTGAAAAAGAGGCTTGTCAATGGCATGGAAAGCATACACATGGTGAAAAAGAGGCTTGTCAATGGCATGGAAAGCATACACATGGTGAAAAAGAGGCTTGTCAGTGGCATGGAAAGCATACACATGTTGAAAAAGAGGCTTGTCAGTGGCATGGAGAGCATACACATGGTGAAAAAGAGGCTTGTCAATGACATGGAAAGCATACACATGGTGAAAAAGAGGCTTGTCAATGACATGGAAAGCATACACATGGTGAAAAAGAGGCTTGTCAATGGCATGGAAAGCATACACATGGTGAAAAAGAGGCTTGTCAATGGCATGGAAAGCATACACATGGTGAAAAAGAGGCTTGTCAATGGCATGGAAAGCATACACATGGTGAAAAAGAGGCTTGTCAATGGCATGGAAAGCATACACATGTTGAAAAAGAGGCTTGTCAATGGCATGGAAAGCATACACATGGTGAAAAAGAGGCTTGTCAATGGCATGGAAAGCATACACATGGTGAAAAAGAGGCTTGTCAGTGGCATGGAAAGCATACACATGTTGAAAAAGAGGCTTGTCAGTGGCATGGAGAGCATACACATGGTGAAAAAGAGGCTTGTCAAGTACATGGAAAGCATACACATGGTGAAAAAGAGGCTTGTCAATGACATGGAAAGCATACACATGGTGAAAAAGAGGCTTGTCAATGGCATGGAAAGCATACACATGGTGAAAAAGAGGCTTGTCAATGGCATGGAAAGCATACACATGGTGAAAAAGAGGCTTGTCAATGGCATGGAAAGCATACACATGGTGAAAAAGAGGCTTGTCAATGGCATGGAAAGCATACACATGGTGAAAAAGAGGCTTGTCAATGGCATGGAAAGCATACACTAATTCTGACAGTTCTTTGGGTTTATTTTTTTTAATCTTTCAAACTGTTAACTTATAAAAAAAAAAACATGGTTAAATAAACCTTATTTTGTCTGCCTGTAGAATTTACATTCACTTTTGTTTTATATTTTGTGTTACAGCTGCTGGACTACAAATCCTTCACTTACACCTACCTCTTAGCTGATCCAGTCACCAAGGAGGCAATACTTATTGACCCTGTGTACGAACTTGTCGACCGTGATGTTAACCTAGTTCACGCCCTTGGCCTTGATCTCAAATTTGCAAGTATGCATAATTGGATGGTCCTCCATCTTTGATCTGTTTTCCGTCCAACTTTAAAGGTCGTTAGTGGGATATTGTCTGCATTTGGGACAGATCAGACAATTAAAATGGCAGACACACATTCATCTTTAGATAGTTACAGTTTGTTATTGATATTTCAGAGAAAAAATTGGATCAATCATTCTCCGATTTCCTATGTAGGTTTTTTTGGTCATTTTTGGAAAGTTAAGATGGCTGACTGTGAGCTTGACCTCCTGACTTGCAGTCAGAGGTAATGTGTTTAACCCTGGGCTTATCATAATATAGTGAGGGAGCAGCTGTTAACAGGAATAATGATTAATATCAATCTCAATCTATGAAATTATTTTCTCCTTACCTTGTATTAATAAAAAAGGAAATTTTATTTCTATGTGTGTCTATAGTTAACACACATGTCCATGCTGACCACATCACGGGCACTGGTGAGATAAAGAAGAGGATCCCCTCATGTAAAAGTGTGATCACAGAGGTCAGCGGAGCCAGTGCCGATATCAGAAGTAAAGACGGGTCAAAGGTCGAGTTTGGAAACTTTTCGTTGGAGGTGGTGAGAACCCCAGGCCACACCAATGGTAACTAGGAGGATCTCTGTTTCAATGGATCAGTAATTTAATGTGATGGATTTCTATCAATTCTGTATTTAGATATAAAACATCTAGATTTAGATTTTTTTTTATTTCATTTTATTTTTTTTTTTTTATTTATTTATTTATTTTTTTATTTTAGTATTTAGTATATAGATCACATCAAACAAACCAGATAGATACATAACATGGTTAATCTTACTTATTAAACAATATCTTAATGATATCTTGGATTATTTGTTGATAATTATAGATGGCATATTTATATCTGCTAGTAGTTACCTCCCTTTGCATAACACTCGGTCTATACAATAGTTCTTAGCTTTCATCAAGATAAATAGGCTAGAGTAATACTTGATCAAATGGGAAAAATTATTGTGTTGATGAATAATATATTTATAATATATATTAAGAGCAAGATGCTCCAGGCACATCAATTCAGGCCAGTAAATTATAAATATATTTCTTTTACATTAGGAGAAAGATCAAGTCTAATCTGAGTTTTTTTATTTATTTATTTATTTTTTTTAGCTTAGTTCAGTAACTGTAATAGATTGACAGATTTTTCTACGATCTTACTATGTGATACCTATGGGATTGTCTCTATTTCAGGGTGCTGTACCTACATTTGGCATGAGAAAGGGATGGCATTCACGGGGGATGCACTGCTCATCCGTGGCTGTGGGCGTACAGATTTTCAGGAAGGTCAGTACAAAAGTTTGTAGTAATTACATGTTTACAAAATAGTATTACTGTGGTTCATTGATTTTATGTATTGATAAGAAAACACAACTCAAGTACAGGAGGAAGCATAATCCTTCATTGTCAGATAAATTTATTTATCATAACATCATATAACTAATTCTCACCATGCTGCATTTGTCAAATCAAACCATGACTTTTGTAAAGGGAAATAACTCTGAGCTAAAATTTAAAAAACTGTTGCCCTGACTTGTATCAATGACATTTAAAAATGATGAGAGGAACACTTTCTGATGGTAACTACAAAGCTGTACTATGATAATACCTGTTCATATTACATGTACAAATGGGTAATATTTCAATATTCTTTGCAAAAATGCTGTATATCATAACAGTTGTGTTAATGTAGGCATCAGACTGTCCTGAAATTGATATGAGATTTTCATACAAATATGAAATTCTGAATTTTATGCAAAGTTGGCCCAGAATTTAATCAACAGCAAATCAATAACTGAAGCAGGTATAATACCTACAAAACTTCACAGGATGTCACCAGAACTACAAACAAAGGCTATAGGACGATGTGAATTGATAGACACTGAGTTAGCTAGCAAGGCTACTTATAGCCTGGGCCAAATTTTACACAACAAAAAGACCTAATAATGCACCTATACCTCCGCAGAGAGGATAAAAATGAATTTTAAAATTAGGTCAGTAGTTGATGATGTTTATTGTAAATACAGGTAGTTAAGATAAGTAGATAAAAAGGAAAACACAACAATGTTATAAGTGTTCAAATGTCTTATCATTAAGAGCAAAAAAAGAAGAAAAAAGAAAGGAAAGATCCAACATTCCAAGAACAAATAAAGATTAAACAATGGTGGGTTCCAAGATTCCTCTGGGATCTCATGTATATGGCTAAGATACCCAGACACATGCAGGGTTTTCCATAAGAGCCGGTTGCCGGCCAATTTGACCGGCTACTTTGATCATTTGGCCGCCTACACCAATCCAGTTCCGTAATAATGTTCCGTACACGACTACACATACACGGCAGGCAAGCCTCCTGCTTTCACTACACAGCCTACTATTAACAAAATTATGGAAAACCCTGCACATGATAAACACCCAAATTATTATCGTGTCTTCGCTGACACAATGATACCATCTTTAGCATTGTACTTTTATACAATGGCTACACTCCAGCAATGCAAGGGCTTCACATTGACTTGTTGCTTTCCTAAGACAATAAAGGTGCTGTCTCTTTCATATTGTCTTATAAGGCAAAAATACCCAACGGCACCAATGATCAAACAAAGCAAGTGTGATTTGATAGGACGCTGTCATGATGACCTTACAAAGGGCAAGTTTGATACGCAAATTCAAAATAGAAATGGACCTTTGCAATGTCTTTTGCCAGTTATTTGAATATGTCAGTACTCAAGAAGTTGCTTTCAGACTGTCACACAATAAGATGCATTCATGAATGGCCAGATGATTTTAAAATCAGAACTGAATTTGAACATTTCTTTCATGGTGTGTCCGTTTTTGCTCAATTAAGGGACAGTATGACGCTGGTGTTAAGGAAGCTAGGAGGTGTGTATGGTGACAGCTAGAAAGTGAGTGAGTGCTACGAGGGATAATGTTTCCATGTTTCCACTACTTGGAGTAATCAGAAGTTTGTGTTACCAGTTGAACCTTGACACCTAGAGTTGTAGGGTTGATATTTAGCTCCCTGTAAATAACACAGGACTTGTTTAAGTAAACAATAAACGTTTTGAATGACAGAGAATCGTAAACACTGGAGTCAATATGATTAGATCTGGAATTTGATTTACCTGTAGTTTTCTGGGATTGAAAGTTGTATAATTATATGAGGTGCAAGGAATGGATCTACGCTTAGACATTAAATTGACTGTAATATCTGTATCATTTTTAATTTTTCACTTATGTACGGAGAGGTACAGTAATCTCTTTGTGTCAGGACTTACATCCACCAATGGAAAATTTGTAACAAGACATATCTTATCCCAGAACTTATTTGGTTCATATATTCAAACCATAGCACCATACCACCGTGATGTGAAGTTTATAAAGTAGGCAGGTAGTTTGAGGCTTTAATTTATGAGGATATTTCATTGGAAGGTGAGATCTGGCAAATTAGTGCACTAGTTCTAAAAATAGCTAAAATGTAGGTAGAAGAAAAAAATATTTATATATATATCATTACATAGAGCATATGTCAGTTCTCCACCATTCTGTTCCAGGTGATTCAGCCACACTGTATGAGTCTGTACACTCAAAGATCTTCACTCTCCCATCTAACTTTTTACTATATCCAGCGCACGATTACACAGGTGAGTGAGAACAGTTGTAGTTAAGTAGGTCAAACTTCGGAGCCTGGTGTGGTTCCGTTTTGACAAAGGTTGTTCGTTTGTCCTTTAAATACATTTACATTAATTTCACACAAAAAATGGTTTTGATATACATACAATCAGAAGTTCTGCTATTCAACCGTCTTCAAAGAAGTTTTAGCTTTTCAAGGCAATCATAGATATTCACAGGAAATTCAGAAATCTAGTCGTTGGGTGTGATGTCCTTGTATCAGAGTAAAACTTGTGTAGCATTGACTGTGTTAAGTAAGTAAGGTAAAACTCATATCAGATTATACACGTTGTACATGTAAAAGAAATAGCTGTTTTTATAATCCAATCTTACAGGGTCTTTACCAAAGTTTACTTTATTCAATTTGAGATATTTTACATCAGCAGCCATTGATTTATTGTAAAGCTAGCTAAAGCTGTATTAATCAGTTTTATTTTTTCTGTTGTGAGGCTCTCTACTTGATTTTTTTAAAGGTCAAACAGTAACCACAGTGGCAGAGGAAAAGGTTTTAAATCCTCGTCTATCAAAAACCAAGGAACAATTTGTGGAGATCATGGCTAATCTCAAACTACCATATCCGAAACAGATAGGTATGATATATAACATTTAGAATTAACAGAGTTTGTAAACTCAATCTTCTGTACCTAGAACAGATAGGTATGATATATAATATGTAGAATTAACAGACTTTGTAAACTCAACCTTCCAGTACCTAGAACAGATAGGTATGATATATACTGTAGCACCAAAAATTACCAGTGTTTGGTAGTTGTGATGTTACAGTAAACAGAGATACAAAGGATTAAACATCAAATTAATTATTCTGACCATAAATAGATTGCTAAGAGTTATTTTTGATACAGAGTTATCCCCCTTCCAATTGGATTAGATTGTTAAGAGTTATCTTTGATACAGAGTTATCCCCCTTCCAATTGGATTAGATTGGATTGTTAAGAGTTATTTTTGATACACAGTTATCCCCCCTTCCAATTGGATTAGATTGTTAAGAGTTATCTTTGATACAGAGTTATCCCCCTTCCAATTGGATTAGATTGGATTGTTAAGAGTTATTTTTGATACACAGTTATCCCCCTTCCAATTGGATTAGATTGTTAAGAGTTATTTTTGATACAGAGTTATCCCCCTTCCAATTGGATTAGATTGGATTGTTAAGAGTTATTTTTGATACACAGTTATCCCCCCTTCCAATTGGATTAGATTGTTAAGAGTTATTTTTGATACAGAGTTATCCCCCTTCCAATTGGATTAGATTGTTAAGAGTTATTTTTTATACAGTTAACCCCCCCCCTTCCAATTGGATTAGATTGTTAAGAATTATTTTTGATACACAGTTATCTCCCTTCCAATTGGATTAGATTGTTAAGAGTTATTTTTGATACAGAGTTATCCCCCTTACAATTGGATTAGATTGTTAAGAGCTATTTTTGATATAGAGTTATCCCCCTTCCAATTGGATTAGATTGTTAAGAGTCATTTTGATACAGAGTTATCCCCCGTTCCAATTGGATTCATTTTCCATTGTTTTACAAGATCATATGGATGAAATACCTTAAACATGTGTATATATGTGCTTCTTATCAACAGATCGTGCCTTACCAGCTAACTTGGTTTGTGGAGTGTTTGATGATACCCCAAAGTAGGAACCAGTCACAACGCTTACATTGTTGTATGGTGGTTGTCATAGCTACCATTGCAGACTTGGTGTCTTGGAGAATGAACACAATATGGAAGCCCTTGAACAAGTTATATTTATCAATTGTCAGAAAGGTTTGACGACATTTGAAATTGTTACATCTGCCTGTATCATAGCCATGTTTACAATGTCTTTCAATTTAGAAATGCCAAGGAATCAATTTTTATGTAATTTTGTACAAACAGATTTACACCTTTTTATCAGTTAACAAAATGTGCTCCAGTTTCATATTTATTTTTTTGTAATAAATTTTTCTTTTGAATTAACTGGGAACTTCAGATCAAATTTTATAAGTTACAATGTTTTGGGTTAGTATAAAACATTGTTGTTTTGACTTCATAGTCTAAAGTATCAGGAAACATTTCGACATTATGCTAAGTTCCAGTGACTATGAACAGATCAGAGGACGAACTCTTCATCTTTATAGAATACTCATTTCTTCTTCAGTTCTTTTCTCTGATTTTAGGAACAAATGCATTCTTGCCACCTTTTGTGTTTTAGTGAGAGTTTTTTCTCACTATTTTGACCTTTAAACTCTATTCAGTTTAGGTATAGCTCTGAAACAGCCTATGACTACCTGATCATGATTAAGGCATTGTATTTCTCAGGACATTTAGTTTTTCTTAATGGTTTTATTGAAAAAAAAATAAAATGTTTGGCATATATATGGATTTTTACGACATATATGGCTTCATCTTCACATTTTTATTAATTTTTTTACCCAGAATTCTTTAAATAATTTTTTGTTGTATAGTTACCACTGTGCCGCCCGACCACCCATACATCATTTCATTTGCTATATCTGCCGACTGAAATTCTTTCTTGATATATTGTAATTATATAATAACCTTTGTATCAAACAATACCAAACATTTAATAAATAATACCTGGTAAGCTATATTTTTTCCCAAGTTAATATAAAACTGACTACATCAGGTATTTCAACTTCAAGTGGCACGGGTTTTAAGTCCTTTGTACTTGAAAATGGAGGGGAATACAAAGTTTGTCTTCATCTGTCTGGTTGGATGGATGGATGGATGCTGGTTTTTAGATGATAACTTGAAAAAAATGATGGATTTTAATGAAACTTCACTTAGTGTCAGGTTAGGAGGTAATACAGTGTGGACGTGAGTTTGGGGTTGACACATCAACTACGAAGTTACTAAAAATAGACTTTTATCGTCAGATTTTGTATTCAAGTTGATAACTTGAGAAAGGATTGATGTATTTGGTTGAAACTTCATACAGAGTTAGCTTATGAGGTAATACAGAGTGGAATTATGTTCGGGGTGAAAATGTCAATTATGAAGGTCACTGTTAAGAAAAAATACTTTTTTTCGTCCTATTTTGGCTTTCAAATGATTGACTGATTGTATGTAAACTTGATGCAATTTAATATCATTAGAGAATATGCATGATGGGATTGAGTCAGAGGTCAAAAAGTCAATTGTGAAGGTTACTTACTACAAAAAAACATATAGATGAGACATCTGGTCATCGCTCTCAATTCCTTTACAAATACATCTACTTGTAAGTATCAAGTTCAGCCATTCACTTCTAAAAGACCAGTTTTGGTTCTGATATGTTGATGGAATTAGATTTATCCTAAAGGTATTTATAACTGTCTAGTGCTGGATTTGTAATTGTTATTTTTATTACTTTTTTTTATCAACGAATATCTGTTCATGAAAATTTTGAGAATTGATTGCATTTTGGATATATGTACATGTAAATAGTAGTTTGAGAATCATCATTTTAAGATACTCTGGAGCATTTTTCATTGGCTGAAATTGATTGTGCTTTCCAAATATGGACAATGATGTTATGTCATGAATTTTAAATAGCACAACAAAATGGCTTCCGACGTTTGATTTTTGTAAAATTGTTAACTTAAGAGCTTGTCTAAAAGTATCTTTAATTTTTTTTTTCAAATTATCTTGAATGTTTTAATTTCGTATGGAGCTATGGCTCACAAAATGATTTGTTTTTATAAAACCTCATTATTGAAGATTCTATATATTTATACAATGTATATATGTGATTTTGATGATTCGTAGTAAATGTGTTTTAATAGTGTGTAATATAGAATGTTGTATAATATCAGAAAGTAAACAAATAGAAATAGTGAAACATATATATATACACAGGTAAATAAAAAGATATACAGGTTGTTGAATAATGGCCACATTGAATAAAAATTTTAATATTTTTTTTTACTTTTAGCAGCTAATTTAAAGGCAGTATGTTTTTGTTGAATATATAGATTGTTTTAGGTTGTCATTGGATACGTTGTGTTATGTTACAAAAGTGCTAAATTCGGTCATGTTGTATTATGTTACAAAAGTGCTAAATTTGGTCATGTTGTATTATGTTACAAAAGTGCTAAATTTGGTCATGTTGTATTATGTTACAAAAGTGCTAAATTTGGTCATGTTGTATTATGTTATAAAAGTGCTAACTTTGGGCTTGTTGTGTTATGTTACAAAAGTGCTAACTTTGGGCTTGGTGTATTATGTTACAAAAGTGCTAAATTTGGTCATGTTGTATTATGTTACAAGAGTGATAATTTTATGTTGTCATGCTTTTTTTTATATCCCAAAAATTTACCAGTAGTTTGTGATCTCACCTGGCCCAAAGCAGTAGAAACAAGTGTTTTGAATACTTTTCCCATAATTTAAACAAATCATTTCAGCTAACTCAACCAGGTGAGCCATACAGGCCATATAGGCCTCTTGTTTGGTGTTGTTTATTATTACTATAAATAAAGAAATGTATAATCTCCTTAGCTTAATTGTTACTTTTTTTCAAAATTGCTGCTCCGCTTACTCTAATAGGAAAAAAACATAGTCTTTGATTTCAGAATTTGTACCTTTACCAGACCTGTATTTAATTAATTGAACAGAGCAATAACGTATAAGAAATATCAAAAGTTTATTTTGTATACAAAGTTGTATGTTACAACCTTTTCACTCTTCAATCACATACAACTATGCATTTCAATGCTGGAATTCTATGAACAGACATACTGAAGGTTTAATGGTAATTAACTGTACTTTACCTATGACCAAGATACTATTTATAGAAAAGACAGATAGATGGATTCACACCAAACACAAGTATTTGTGGATTAGCTATTATGCCATGGTAACCAATTAATATAAAAGGAATTTTGATTAGAATTTTCTTCCCGTACAACTCCTCCAAAACTACGTGATCAATTTCAATGAAACTACACAGGAATGTTGGGGATCATGTGAAGACTATGCAACATTTTTTGTCCAGCAAATATTGGTTGCCATGGTTACCAGTCAATTTAAATAGGTTCTTTCTGGAAATTTTTCCGCACAATTTATAAACTAATGAATCAGTTTCGTTTTTATAACACATTAAATGTTAGGTGCAATGTGTAAATGTCCTTTTTAAACAAAAAAATGTGTGGTTGCCTTAGTAACATGTCATTAAAGATAGGATTTGTCCTCACTTGTTTTACCATCAATCTTGTGTGTAAACTTTCCTTTGAAACAAAGTCTTTTAATAACCAAAAAGCCCAGATTCTTATATTGGGCCTGTAGGATGCTGAGATTAGGTACTACCAAATTTGTTAAAGTGAAAGATCTCAATAAACAAAAGACCCTCTCTCTCTCTCTCTCTCTCTTTGACGGGATGGTCATTACTGATCAACCGCGGCACTCTTCACGAATCGTCGCCATTGACTACGGTTCTGCGCCAGTCTGAGCAACTCAGCCATGCTAATGTCCGCGATGTCCTTCACGTTGTCTGATATTCTTGTTTTTGGTCTTCCACGTCCTCTTTTTGCCAGGGATTGTAACAAAGAGCAGATCTTTTGTTAGGCTGTCTGTTCTGGCCACATGTCCCAAAAATCGCAATTTCCTGTCCTTGATGTTGTCTAGCAGTCTTCGGCTTGGTCCAATCTTCTCCACAACCCATCCGTTTGTGCAAAAGACCCAGGGTGCTGATATTGATCGTATAGCATGCTGGGATAAAGGTCAAGATTATTGGTATGGTTGAACTTTACGTCCTTTCAAGGTCATAGGGGTCCGATGAGGTAACATTTAAACACCTTGTCTTCAATAGTCAAGGCCCATGGTGCTGATATCGGGCCTGTTGCATGCTGGGATTAATGGCTACCAACTTTGTTCATATGATTTTCCTTGGCTCTTTTTAAAGTTCACAGAGGTCTAATGTGTTAAAATCTTTAAACGACATCTCAATAGCCAACATAATTTCAAGTTTGCAGAAACTGATTTTATGAACCGACAACGTTTTCTTTGTATGCTGTAGAATAGTTGAGAAATTTAGGCCTATTTAGCCTCAGTGATACAATGTTACATATCTTGAAAATCATATGACCGTTAAAGCCCTTGAACCTCTTGGTATATAACGAGTTTTTAGCCTACGAGTGACACAAATGATAAGGTTAGTACGTACATGCGTTGTAGTTAATGGGCAAGTGTCACCACAGTCCAATATTCCATATGAAAATATCCAGTCCTAGAGAAAGGAAACTGTCATCTTAAGCTAGTAATGCTAACCTGGTTTGAACTATTACCAATAGAAAATAAAACAAATGATGTTCAAATGTTCAAATTTTCTTACATTTGTGAAAAAAAACCTATAGTAAAATTTACCCCCTCTCCAGGGTGAAATGTACGACCATTGGGTCATGAAATTTACAATTTTATTAAAGCATCTGAAGGCCTTTCCATCCACGAATATTTGATTCTATCTTACCTGGGATTTGAGACGATTTTTGACTTTCAATCTATTTGGCGCTTTTAGGTCCTGCCCCTCAGGCCCCTAGGGGTTGTTGTTTTCCAAGTGAAATAGAAAATATTAAAAGTTTACGACGCACGAAGCTGGAAAAGAAGGGGCCGCAATTGGTCACCTGAGACAAGGTCTAAACACCAAACACAGAACGATACTCATGTCCCATTTCAGACACAAACCAAACGCGGAATAACCTCATATCCAAATCAAGATAGAAAACCAAACGCGGAATGACTATCACGTCTCCCTTCAGACAGAAAACCAAACGCAGAATGACCAACTATGTCCCCCTTCAGACAGAAATCCACACGCGGAATGACCATCACGTCCCCCTTCAGACAGAAAACCGAACGCAGTATGACCAACTATGTCCCCCTTCAGACAGAAATCCAAACGCAGAATGACCATCACGTCCCCCTTCAGACAGAAATCCAAACGCGGAATGACCATCACGTCCCCCTCCAGACAGAAATCCAAACGCGGAATGACGATCACGTCCCCCTTCAGACAGAAATCCAAACGCGGAATGACCATCACGTCCCCCTTCAGACAGAAATCCAAACGCGGAATGACCATCACGCCCCCCTTCAGACAGAAATCCAAACGCGGAATGACCATCACGTCCCCCTTCAGACAGAAATCCAAACGCGGAATGATCATCACGTCCCCCTTCAGACAGAAATCCAAACGCGGAATGACTATCACGTCCCCCTTCAGACAGAAATCCAAACGCGGAATGACCATCACGTCCCCCTTCAGATAGAAATCCAAACGCGGAATGGCCATCACGTCCCCCTTCAGACAGAAATCCAAACGCGGAATGACCATCACGTCCCCCTTCAGACAGAAATCCAAACGCTGAATGACTATCACGTCCCCCTTCAGACAGAAATCCAAACGCGGAATGACTATCACGTCCCCCTTCAGACAGAAATCCAAACGCGGAATGACCATCACGTCACCCTTCAGACAGAAATCCAAACGCGGAATGACCATCACGTCTCCCTTCAGACAGAAATCCAAACGCGGAATGACCATCACGTCCCCCTTCAGACAGAAATCCAAACGCGGAATGACCATCACGTCCCCCTTCCGATAGAAATCCAAACGCGGAATGGCCATCACGTCTCCCTTCAGACAGAAATCCAAACGCGGAATGACCATCACGTCTCCCTTCAGACAGAAATCTAAACGCGGAATGACCATCACGTCCCCCTTCAGACAGAAATCCAAACGCGGAATGACCATCACGTCCCCCTTCAGACAGAAAACCAAACGCGGAATGACCATCACGATCTCTGTTCAGTAACAAGATCAAATGTGAATTGATCATCATCATGATGGCAAACTAAACCAAACGCGGAATGATTATCATGCCCCAAATCAGACATAAAATCAAACGCGATATGATAATCATGTCCCAATCCAGACACAACATATCCTCTGATCAAGGGGGAGGGGGTGTGTATTAGCACCTTCTGGAAATGTGTTTTTCTTTAAGGCATATGGAGTTAGATGCATTCGATGCTCGTTGCTGTGTTTGAATGTTCAGTTGTTGCTAACAACGCTTTTATTGAGGACCTGACATTACTAACTTGGAGTGGCAGATTGTGTATACCTGGTATCGTTGATGAAGAAGAAGACGCTTATCCTTCTGGAACACCTGGTTTTCTCGCACCTTTACAAGAGTTTCCAGATTAAACGTATTGGTTTTATTTTGTCCTCGTTCCATCGCTTTTGAATTTGTATGTAAGTTTTATTTACATTTGGGCTTTTAGTTGTCTTTTAATCCGTTTGCGTTCAAAAATACTACTGTGCAGTCCATATTTACATCGAACAATCTCCAAAGATATTCAGAACGAATCTATTTATTGCAATGAATCATGACCTTGACTGCACGAGCGTCCCTCGACCTTGCCGCCTCGAATGCGTCGATCGTATCTTGTAAATCAAAGTGATGCGTTATCAGTGGTTTCAGGTCGACGCCGCTGTTATTTACAAAATCCAGTGCCGCAGGGTAACTGTAGAAAGTGAAATTTTAGACTATGTAACAAAATAGGGTTAAGACATATTGCTACAAAATGTGGTTTCGATATTAGTGTAACTCAGATGCATAAGTCAGTAATCTTTGGCTGACTGGTTGTAGGATTAATTTTATCAATACGTAATATAGGGTAGATTGGGTGTGAATTATGAATGTACACCGATATTTCGTAACTGTATTTATAGTGGACAGCACTGATATCTTCTGGTCCTATTAGTCTATTCTATTGACAAATTCAGCTATCTCTCGGACGGCGGTCTGCCTTTGAAAATGCCCGCCGTGCCAAAGGTTAAACTCTGACACATGCAATTCTTCCGGTTAACAGGTGTTAGGCAGTCTAATGAACTGAAGTCCACCCTGATATGAAATTCAACCAATGGGACATTTTTATGCCGAGATCATATAGAATAGGGATAAAAGGAGGGGAGTTTTTTGTTTTTTGTTTTTTGGGGTTTTTTTTGGGGGGGGGGGGGGGGGGGGCAGAGAGATCCCTAGGAAGAGAGCCCTGAGAAGAGAGCCATATGGACAGAGACCTATAGACTAGCCCTATGGACAGACGGGGAGATAGCTCAGAGCCATATGGACAGTTCTGATACGAGACACAACGTGAAGTACTAGTATATGAACTCTGTATGTTGATGGGATGTTGCTTTTGTTCATGTAACATTATCATTATTCAACATGAAATAAAAATGGCTATTACCAACAAGTATGTGTGTTTACGCCTACTGTGTTACAACAACTACAACAAAATATGATCAAAATGGAAAAAGTACTTCAATTTGACTTAGACATACGCGTAGATCAAACAAGATGAATAATTAAAATTCGTTTGGAAATTATGCTTTGAAATGACCTCATATAATACCCTAGTTGTATTAGCATCTTTTCCTCAATATCTGACACACCTTTCTTCAATATATTGAAATAACACGTCTTTTCTACATATTTCTACCTAACATGTTATATATAGTTCGTATTTCACACATCAAAACAAGTTTATACGAAAGCGTCAGTTCGTTGCTCTTTGGTACGTACCAATTGGCGTATCTGAAGATACCTTTAATATCTATTTCTTTAGTAGCTGCGATGTTGAGAGGGATGCCGCCACTGTTTTTATAACGTGCTACCGTCACCACACAACCCCCGGGATATGTTGCCTGAAATTAATTATTTCCTATTCTAAATGCTGGCAGTTGTAATGTTTCTCTTCACATCATGGAAAAATCTGGTATATCAGTTGCTAAAACAACTTTAAATATATTAACTGACTCTCTTGTTGCTAATGTAGTCTGTTATAGTAAACACATAATAATTAAACTATTACACAAAGATTGACTAATCTTTTAAACTTAACGAACAACTCAAAATCATGTATTATTTGATGAACATCTACTCTTCCCATATAAAAAGCAATTGTCGTTAAAGGAAGACAAAATGTCGATACCGGAAGCTTACATGTATAGCGGTGGCATAACTAATGTCTGCTCCACTGCATTCTATGGATACTTCCGGTTGACCTTCCATTATGACCTCGACCTGATCAGCCAGACACATGGGGTCATTTGATGTCACCTTCAGGGTGAGATCTGCTCCCATTTGACGGGCTACTTGTAAACGGTTATCATCTATATCTGAAAGTAGAATTAGAAAAAATAACCATGTTTTAGAATGTTTTTATAACTATATTGTCATATATATATTATCAGGTAGCAGGGAAACACGGACAGAACTGCTTTGTGACTTTGTCACTGATATCATCAAATCAGTAATACATATGTCATATTAATTAATACTGTATATATATAGTAACAAGGCTAAGATAACAGACAAACCAGATAACACGGTGTATTTGTAGTAGCCAGTTCAAGATAACAGACAGGTCAAGAAAAAAAGTGTATGTATAGTAAACAGTTTGAGATAACAGACAGATCAGGTAACACATTAAGTGTATGTTTTGTAGCCAACCAGGTAATGTGTGTGACACTTCTAAAGTTCTATTAGTACGATGATAATTAGTGGGTTTTTTTTTTTATTTTAAGAGCGCATCAATTATATGTATGGTGAAATAGCCTTGATCAAGTTACCACAAACGTTTCTATAGCCATATTTCACTGAACGGTACGAAAACAACAGTGGAAGAAACACTCAAAATCTTGTCTAGCAGTGGATAATGGATATTGATACTCCACTTCATTAAAGTCTCTTTTTTTCCATATGGTATTAACGTGATAATTTATCGTGAACAGTTGTAAACAAAGTGTAAGTTCGAATTAAGTATGGTAAAATTACACTGGTTTTATAGTGAAAAATTTCGAGACTTTTTTAAATGTTCGAAATACCGAGAAATTCGAAACATTGAAGTTCGAAATACCGAAGTTTGACTGTAGGTGATGACTAGTTGTGATAAGCAACACAATGTGACATGCCTCGGTGATCACATTGTTTTTATTATTCTTGGAATCAACTGCAGAAAATTAACAAAATTTAAACGACGGAACGAACCAAAGAGCATAAATAAACAAAGTTTTCAGGTGGATTTTTAAACTACAAACGAATGTGAAAACTTCGAGTATTCACAGTAAACTAAAATCTTCCTTTTTAACTCAAATCATTATGTCACTTTCTACACAATATAAAATTTAACACAACGAAATCAGCCCAAATACATTCCCATGGCTTATACACTATGCTTTCCTGTCCGTGTTAAAACACCTCAACATATTATAGCAATACACCTTTAAGTCTATCCAATCAAACCTTTATTCTCTGTCCTCACCTGTTATCAGAACCTTTGAAGCTCCAATTTGTTTGGCTACCAGCATTGTCAATATCCCGACAGGACCTAGGATTAATATAATATCATTTTTAATATTCCTATAGGACATAAGGATAGTAAAATAGCATTGTATGTATTCAGACTGCACCTAGGAATAATATGATATCATTATAAATATTTTAATATGACCTAGACATAAAAAAATATATCATGATTTCTATATTCCAACAAGACCTAGTGATGAAAAATTATCGTTATTTCTATACTTCGACAAAACATCGGAATGATAAAATATCATTATTTTTATATACCGACAAGACCTATGGATAATTAATTATCAATATTTCAATATTTCTACAAGACCTAGTGATAATATATCATGATTTCTATATTCCGAAAAGACCTACTCTTCGCTGTCTACTCTCATTTCCACTAATAATTTGAAAGTTTTACCAGAAACAAATTGTATATAAAACGGGGATGGAACGTTAGCGCCTGTACACATTTCGTACATACATTAGTACTATTACACATTTGACGTGCAAAGAGTTGAACACCATACCACGTGATTCGTGCCTACTGAAGAATACCAGATAGATATATATTAACCCTTAGGAATGAACAAATGAACGTCAATTTGTGGTACAGATTATTTTTAGTGAAGCGACAGTTATGGAAATATAATGACGTCATAGGAGACAGTCCTTTGTTCTGAAGTATAAATTGGAAATTTATTGCAAAGTGATATGATTAATGATCTAATGTCCAGATTTACTAGTATACTGATATAATAAAAAAAAACGGGTTCCGTATTGTTTACATTTATAAGGGGTGTTTTTCTGGTTGTAGATTTAAACTTAAAAGTATAAAATGCTACAAACTATTATATATTTGAAACATGACAAAAACTGTGTCAAGCCTCAACTCATGCTTGGTCAGGTGGCGCTCTCGCGCCTTTCATCTCGGCGTCCAAGGTTTGATTTCCATATCAACAAGAGTGATTAATGGAAGTTGTAATACAAATAAGAACAATTTTAAAGTAATGAAATGCCCTGCTGACCTGAACCGCATACCAAGACTTTGGTTCCGAGTCTCACATTACCGCGGCGACAGCTGTATATCGCCACAGCCAGGGGCTCTAACAATGCGCCCTCATCCAGACTTATGTTACCAGGAAGTCTACAAGAAAAGACACTGTCAGTACGAATTATTATACCAATGTTAAATCATATAAAGCCTGGCCAATTACTCTGTACCAAAGTTGTGCTGTTAAAGGAGGGCTTGGTCGATTGATACAGAACGTAAATAACTACGTTTTCTACTAACGATAGTCTCATGCGAAATAATGACATATCAACCGGATTTAATTACTTGTGCGTCTTTTGCACGTTCTTCAAGATTGCATGTTGTAGACACTTTTATCACTGATGAGTCCTAGAAGGACTGTATGATGCAGTTTGAATCACTCCACAATAGGGTTGTTTCTAGCGTTGGTTGAAATTCGTCAGTAGAAATCCATTATATTTGAAACATTTGTTTTCAATGTAGACTGATATATTTACCTGAAGCAGAAGTCAGCTGGGTGTTTGTAGTACATACACAGGTTGCCATCGTCGGGGGGCGTGGCACAGAAAAATATGCTCTTACATAAATTGTATCTGCCGTTCTTACAAAGGGCACACTTCCGGCACGGAACTCCAGGCTCTATCGCCACCCGGTCACCTGACCAAAAGGCACCAAAACCACTGTATGATAGTCTTAATGGTGATAAGAAATGCTTTGAACGTCATGATAGTTATGCCTTGTTTTTTAAGACGTCGCCATAAAATTTACGTTAACAAAGCATTAATATAAAGAATATATATATATATAAAGAAAATAGGAGTCAGTAGGAATATATGAAGTACCTATGTTCAAGGTCCTAACACCTTGGCCGACCTTGACGACAGTCCCACTTCCCTCGTGCCCCATCACCATTGGCTGTCCGAGGGTGAAAATGCCACACTTGCCCTCTGTCCAGTACTTAAGATCAGATCCACATATCCCTACCGATCCCATTGAGAGTAGCACTTCTATATGAGAACAAAAGCGAAGATTTAGAAAAAAAAGGTATTGCATGTTTCATTTGTTGATGTTTTTTATTCACGATCTCTTAAACATCTCCACTTTGAAGACAAGTATTATTTGAGTTTTTGATTTATTGTTCTTCGCTTTAACACTTTGTGTGACTTTCTGTTGAAATACAAACCATTCTTTTCCAGTTCTGGCACGGCTATTTTCTCCTAAACAGAAAGAGACGTTAGAATATTGATATTGGTGACTTTATAAAACAAGGCCTCAAGTCTTACATAAATAAATCTTTATTTTTAAAAAATTGTGCAACAAACTCGTTACCTTATCAATCAACGGAACACCAGTCATGTTAAGGATGTAGGTTATTTCAAACAGAGATGTCGATCAACATATTTAATGAAGTACATATATAGATTTATTGAAAACAAGCATTTTGTTATAAGCAGAGAAACACCAGAGAGTAGACAGAATAATGAGAGAGAGAGAGAGAGAGAGAGAGAGAGAGAGAGAGAGAGAGAGAGAGAGAGAGAGAGAGAGAGAGAGAGAGAGAGAGAGAGAGAGAGAGAGAGAGCTAATAAAACACTATATGACCGTTTGTTTACATAATAGCATTTTAATACCTTCTGATTCTACACCGGTAGATTTAGGTCAGTATGAGATGTGTGACAAAACATTATCTATAACATATGCCTTAACACACTATCACAGATAATGTACAGACACGCACTTTGCTACATTTTGACCCCTCTGTTTATAAATATATCAATGCAATATTTAGAGAGCTATGTTGTTGGACAAATTTAAACATTAATACAGTCAGGCATTTCTACGATGTGATTAAATGACCTAACAATTATGAGTGTTTATTCTGCGGACTACTCGGGTGATGTTAATTGTATCTGTGCCTGTTTTAGAATTAATACGACAGCAATGAAGCATTATGCAATTGATGTTATAATGACTATGTCAATATATGTTTTAAACATGTCCCCGTATGCTCGACATAAACGATCCATGCTCTACTTCTCATGTAAGCTGCCTGCTTAGTTTATGATAAACTATGTTTTGCATAATCACATTTTTACACTGATGTTACTTTACATCGATGAAGGAGAATCAATATTTGGAATATACCAGACGAATGTCGAGTTTCCCGTGTAATACGGCCGCCAGGTTGTCTGTCTTGATATCACAGGAGGACGCCATGTCAGTTCTGTGTGTCACATCAACGCTGACTAATACAGTATTGTTAAAGTTTGTCGAACCTTATCTGTAAGGTTGTGTATTCAATCTACAAGCTGTAACACTGGTGTAAACAGGTGGAGAGGCCAGGAGGGATCGGACGTGGTTGTCACGCTTTCTAAATTCAAATTCATTTGGATATTTAGCATTCTTTGTCCCCTTCTAAAGCACGTGGTAAACAGTACTTCGTGTAGATAAATCACACGTTCTCTCACTTTATTGAAATAAATACTTGGTAGGATGAGAACTGAAATTGGCGATAAATATCGGCGTTTCACAAAGTGTATAAAAATAAAACGAAACGGAAAAAGAAACCAGACACAATTTTCCCTTTGGTAATGTTTTGGATGATTTTGGTTTTAAAACCTGCATGATAAAGACGGCAGTAGGACCGTACTTATCTCGATCCGTCTGTAGCTTGAAAAATGATAACAAAGGCATAGTGAAAAGATGTATTGATACATGAGCATAAGTATGTCATATTAGGATATCAACATCAAATTGAACAGAAAACAAAACTAATTTGCCTAATATACAATATTAAAATCATGGTGTAACATGTAAATTCGTCAAGTCCATCTCTGAGTGGTAAACGTTTTGGTTTACTCAAGTAGATCGATAAAACAACTGACTTCGCGGATAGGCATCGACAAGAAGTCACGACGGGAAACTCACTTCGAAGTCGTCAATACGTTTCTTCCAAATGGAGATTGGGATTTGTGTATCATTCTCTGTAATATTATTCAGAAAAGGTAGGAGACAATATCACATGATATGATTTTATTAAGTGGTGATATTATAACTGGTTTTTGTCCCCGGATTGAGAATATCACCTACTAGGCACAGTGTATCGTCTTCATCAACAGTCTGCCATTACCCACAAACTCACTTGAAGCGGAAAAAAATTCGGAACATGCCACATACATTCTCATCATCGTTCTTTCAACTTCAAATCTTTGTGACATATTTTAGCATGTCGCTATAACAAATTTCTCCGGTGTCAATTTTTGTGTCAATCATCTGCCTAAAAGGGAAGGATGACTGCCATCTTTGGGATAGCGTCAGAATCCATGAGCATATCTGGGATTAGATTTGACTTAACTTTGCGTTTTCTTCTACGCGTGGTCACCGTTCATGGACAAGATAAGATCGTTATAACGTCCCGGTCATTTCGTCACATCTCAAATTGAATATTCGTACAACGATCATTCTAATCATTCCAACAATATATTCTCTGGTGTCGATGACTATATTAAGCATATTGTGAAATAAACTTCTACAATCAGAAGACGCCGTAACAAAACAAGAAAACCATGGATCAATTAACGGTCATCTCACCATATAAAGACCTACATATAAAAGGAGGCCAAATCAGTCTAAAATTGCTCAACTACTTTACAGCTTACAAAGAAGTCAATGCCGATTAATAAAAACATATTCTACACACTTGAAATCCTATTCCTTATACATGCAACTACACATGACAGAACCAATATCAACAGCATGGACATTTTTGTTAATGATAAGTCGTTTGAAGAATTTAACATATTTGACAAGGTCAATATCATGAATGAAATCGGTAACGCTTCATCCAAGCATACCACAGATCCAATATCAGCACCCAAGGTGTTTTGGTTCTTAAGAAGAAGTCGTTTAACGATTTTGACATATTTAACACATGTGACCATCAACCCATCACGCTACAGGCTACTTGGTTTTGTGTTACCGAGAAGAAGTCGTTCATGCTACAGGCCCAATATTGACACCCTGGGCCATTTGGGTATCAAAATGATGTCGTTTAAAGATTCTGATATTTTTTACATATGTAATTTTGAATGTGGGTCAAGGTAAATAGTGTGACTAAATTGGCACACCTTTTCATTCCATCATGCTACAGGCCCAATATCAGCGCCCTGGGACTGGGTTGTTGAACAGATGTCGTTTGAAGATTAAGTCATATTCAACTGGTAAAGGTCATTCATTTAAGACAAACGTGATAGTGCTTTATCCGTGCATACTACAGGACCAATGTCAAAACTCGGGGCATTTCGGTTATTGAAAAGAAGTCGTTTAAAGACTTTGACATATTTGACACTTGTGATCTTGAAAGTGGCTAAAGGTAAAAAAAAATCATAACAAACATGGTAACGCTTCGTCCCATAATGATACGGGCCAAATATCAACACCCTGGGCCTTTTGGTTATTGAGAAGTAGTCGTTTGAATATTTTGTTACATTTCAACGCTGTGGCCTTCAACGCCGATCAAGGTCAATATTGGAAGCACACTTGGAAGTCTCTCATACCCCAATGCTTCAGGCCCAATATAGACACCATAAGTCATTTGATTATTGATAAGTCGTTTAAAGATTAAAAAGTTCACGAACGATGGACTGCACAAAACGACGAAACAAACTTGTCAGTCCTTCATCCCAGCTTACTATGAATCAAATATCCGCACACTTAGCCTTTAGGTTATTGAGATAAAGTCGTTTAAAGAGTTTAGCATATTTGTGTCATTTGACCTTGAAAGGCGGTAAAGGTCATTCATATCAATAAACTTGTAGCCCTTCATCCGTGCATACTACAGGCATATTGTGCGCACCCTAAACGGTTCAGTTACTGTGAAGAAGTTGTTTGAATATTTTAAATATATTTCACCTTGCGACCTTGAAAGTCAGTTAAGGTCAATCACAAGAACAAAGTTTGCCGTTCTTCTTTCCAGCATGCAATTTAGCTATTTAGAAGTTGTTTAAAAGTTTTAATGCATTGACCGCTATGACCTTTACGAAGTGTTAAGGTCAATCATATGAACAAATTTGGTATTCCTTCCGGCATGCTACAGGCAAAATATCAGTACCCTGAGCCTATTGGTTAATAAGAATCTGTTAAAAAAGATAAAAATCATTTGACCCGTTTAACTTGAACGTCGGTCAAAATCAACTTTTAATTGTTAGATATTTTATTCAAGTATGCTACAGATCCAAAATCAGGACCATGGGCCTTTTGGTTATTGAGAAAAATTCGTTGGAATGAAAAGTTTACGCACCACTCAACGCGCACTTCATACGACGGCAGACAAAACACGATGCCTATTGATCATCCTCAGACTTGGGTCAGCTCACCTAAAAACCTCCTTTATTTCACACCGTAAAAGGCATTTTACTCTTACTAACATACGGCAATGACTAGATCTGTAATTCATTATATTTATAAATGCGTCATGTATCTCTTTCAATATCTTCATTTATCCATAATCTATTACTGAAGAAAAGGCGTGAAATATTAAGTCGGAATACGACACATTACATTACGTACATCATCATCCTCGGGAGTGAGTGAAAAGCTGTCTTACCTACACAGGTTTCGCGCAATTTACCAATAATATTCTATGTTACTTAGCAACGTGTTTTGAACGTTATTGTTACAGGTTTAGAACGGTGTTATATTAATATAACCAAGATTTATAGCACACATTACGTCAATTTTCGTTGCATTATATCCTAGATACCTCTTGTCTGTGAGAAGGGTTGGATTGATAGCATTACTTTGTCTCTTGTATAGAAGGGTGGTCACAATAGAGCTGTTGTTATAGACAAGCTTTATCCCATTCCTCCTTCAACATGAGGTTGGCATTATACTTTAAGTTTATTTTCTTCTTGGTTGGGATCTTTAATTACAGTCAGTGCTATCAGGCAATTTTTAATCAGGAATGTTATAATTTATTGTATTCCTGTTCAAGTACACTGAAAAACAGATATTGTCTCTGTGACTCTTTGTGTGAATACTATGATGACTGTTGTTTCGATGCCCGAAACGAAACAAAGATGAAATCAGAATTTGAAACCAAGCATAGACTGTTTCTTAACAAGACCACTTGTGAATCTGTCACCTTTGGGAAAGTGCAAGGTACAAGTCGAAATTTCGGAGTTTTCATGGTGTCATCTTGTCCTGAATTCTCAAGTGCTGATGTAGACGTTAAACGTCAATGTGAAAGCACTCACACTGACTGGGATCTTATAGATATTATACCTGTTACTGAGAACATTACAAATATCACATTCAAAAACAGACATTGCGCAAAATGCAATGCGATATCAAACTGGATTCCTTGGCTTTTTGAAGTACAATGTGGAATACAGTACTTTGCATACGACATGAGCAAGACGTTTTCACTTGTTGAGTCGGTTCGTCATCGACTAAGAAGTGAATATTGTAGTTATTATTTTATACAACCAAAATATACAAAACCAAGAAGTTGTTTAAAACATTTCAAATATGATTTAAGAAACAGTTTGTTCTCTGTAAACAAGACGGCTTGTGAAAATCGCGTATTTAAAGCAATTCAAAGCTTACATGGTGTGTACAGGAATCTACAATGCTTTCTCGATTTTTTTAAACTTCAATATGTACCAGAATCACACATATTGATTTGCTACCGGGATTTGTCTATAATCTCTGCAAAGGATCATTTTCTTACAATGAGCAGTTTGATAGATGTATCATCCTTAGTGGAGGATGTTTCCACTACTACACGATGTGGTAAACGAGAAGTATACGTATCAAAACAGGTAGGTACAGCTAATAGATAAAACAAATGACAAACTATTATAAATAATTGGAAATTGAGTTCGTAAATATACGACTTAAAGTAACATGGATTCCAGATATACACCTTGATATCTCTGTCTAGTGGGCTTTGCGGGGTTACCAGGGACACAATAATAATTTTGAACAGTATAATGAAGCTTACAGATATTAAAATAAAAAATATATACTTTAGGGATATCTGAAGAGATCAGTGAGATAGCGGACGAAATACTACTTGAATAATGTGTTCAGTCTTTTGATATGGGAGGTCATTTTCAAAGAAAAGTTCATGGTTGTGAAATTGTTTTATGAAGAGTTTGTGTTAAGCCAAGAATTTGCCATGGACGAAGTCGCGAAAAAGATTTCTGGGTCACAGT